AGCGGACCATCTGGTGATAACTCGGAGCCATTGAACAGCTAACATATCAAAGATCACCATTTTACAACATTTCTCATTGTTGCAGAGAAAATCAAGGCCTACTTTGATCGAATTTATGTATCACTAAATTTTACGGATGTTTCGGATCTTCCGGCGGATCATCTGGTGACCACTTGGAGCCATTGAAACGCTTAAATATCTAAAATCATTAATTTACTACATTTCATATAGTTGCAGAGAATAATCAAGGCCTACTTTGATCAAAAATACATAATAATCCAGATTAAGGTTGATCCAGGTCATCGGAAGGCCTTCCGGTGGACGCTCAGTATTTAGAACCAGGTTATGGGTTGATTTTGTTAAAATATTAATCAGCACTACCCATAGATGCCTGTTGCTGTGGATTTTCAGCACCACCTTGTTGTAGACGACTGGTACCTTTTCTCCCCACGATGGCCTCTCGGAAACTCGGAATAAAACCAGAACCACTTGGCCATTTTTTTCCAATTTATAGTAGACCATAATTTCGACATTTTCCAATCACTGTGAAAATTTCAACCAATTTCATGGTTAAACAAAAAAGTTATACCTATGCAAACATTGCTATTCGTATACCTGTTCGTAAATATAAAAACTGCACAAGCGCGTTAGGCCCTCCCCAGAAGTAAAGCAGGTGGTGTTCGTTTGAAACGCTAATAACTTTTCGGGGGTAACTCGGATTCACATCCAGTCTTGAGCCAAGATGTTCCCAATACTCCAAAAGTGATACATTTTGTACACGAAGAAAATCGACCCACTACAGCGCCACCTAGAGCCGCGAATGTGAAAGTGGCTCGCTCCCCCATACATTTTGTCGATTTTCCCCATACAAACTGCAAGCCGTTTGAGCGAGGGGTTCCCGTGAACCAAATGACTTCAAATTTTGGCAGGGTGATTCTGACCCCCCAAACTACCATTCCAGAGGGTAGCGTTTGAAATTCCAGACTTTAATTTTTTTTTCAATATAACGCTGAAACACTCTAGTGACCATGGAAAACATGTTGCCGCCATATTGGATTCCAAAATAGCGTCTGGAATCTATATCTGGCCTCTACACGTCGTCCATTTTCGGAAATTCCCACATTGTAGTGTATTTGACAGTTTTTCTTCAACTGATGGCCACCATCTTGGATACGAAAATGTCGTCTGGAATCTATTTCCGGCCTCTACACGTCGTCTCCTTCCAAAAATATCCATATTGTAGGGTATTTTACAGTTTTTCTTGAACCTATGGTCACCATCTTGGATCCCAAAATGGCATCTAACATCGATTTCCGGTCTCTACACGTCATCTCCTATCCGAAAATACCCATGTTGTTGGGTATTTTACAGTTTTCTTGAAACGATGGCAACCATCTTGGATTCCAAAATGGCGTCTGACATCGATTTTCGGTCTCTACACGTCGTTCCTTATCCGGAAATATCCATATTGTAGGGTATTTGACAGTTTTTCTTGACCCGATGGTCGCCATCTTGGATTCCAAAATGGCGTCTGGCATCGATTTCTGGCCCCTACACGTCGTTCCCTCTCTGGAAATACCCGTATTATAGGGTATTTGACAGTTTTTCTTGACCCTATGTCCGCCATCTTGGATTCCAAAATGACGTCTGGCATCGATTTCCGGCCTCTACACGTCGTCCCCTTTCCAAAAATATCCATATTGTAGGGTATTTGACAGTTTTTCTTGAACCGATGGCCACCATCTTGGATTCCAAAATGGCATCTGACATCGATTTCCGGCCTCTACACGTCATCCCTTTTCCGGTTCCTGTTCTCACATTGCACAGCAACATCTTATATGGACAAGCTTTGGAGACATAACATATTAAGAAGTTCATGTGTACACGAGCGCCGCGTAGTGTGAGAGTTCTGAAATAATATGACGATCATCCGAAAGGACTTAATCATCTGAAAAACTTTGCTGAAGACAGTAACTTTCTATATGGCCAGGTTCTCGAGATACAGCTTATACAGGAAATTTACTTGCTCACTAGCGCCGCGTAGTGAGCGTGTTTTGAACTAATATGGCCACCATCCGAAAGGACTTGGTCACCTGAACAACTTTGCTGAAGACAGTAACTTTCTGTATGGTCAGGATCACGAAATATTCTATGTTGGAAATATGATCCATATATTATAGCGCCCGTCATAAGTAACATAAAAGTGAAGCGCCTCTAGCGGCGTAGTTCTCAATTTAACCCGAATCCAATGGCACAGGCTTGTTGGTCTAACCCAGTACAGCAACTTTGTCGAAGACAGTATAGCTTTATGTATTGAAACAAATGAGATAATCCACTACAGCCCCCATTAGTGAAAATCCCATAAGCTGTGGGTATCCTTATTCGCGGATAGCCTGGCAATAAGGATCCGGCAATAAGAGATACCGGCAATAAGGAATCCGGCAATAAGGATTCCTGACTGTACATATTAGGACGTACAATAAACTAAAGGTGGATATTCCTCTATCCCACAATAAGGACCGTACATAAATAATGATACAATTTGAAAGGGACCGGGGCTAATCACAAATTGTGTCCCCACGCTAACTGAAATAAACACGAGTGCTCACGAGTACATTTTTACAATTGTGTTTCTAAATTTCACATAAAATATAGATAAAAGTGATATTTTTTTATGGATCATCCACAATTTTTTAATGATTTTCTCCGATGTTTTATGGATCATCCAACGTTTTCCAATATTTTATGGATCGTTTTATCAATTCTTAAGGTGCATACTTAAGGCTACCGATTCAGTGTGCAATTTCACTGATTCTGATCAATCACGGAGTAGCAACCATTGATATGTGCAGTCCGTCTAAACTAAGCTAAGCTATACCGAAAAGCTATTTTCAATAATCCACCGGAAAACTGAATGAACCACATTCAAAGGTTTCTCGATCAATTCCTACTACAAAAACATTTCATCAACATCGTAAAACAGGAAAATTATAAAATGCACCATATTTTCGACGCGGTTGTACTGCATCCTATTTGACGTGATATTAATTTTCATTTTTGCTCTGCAGGATCATTGACGAACGAGCCTTCGTAGGATCTTCATCTCGGGGATTCACCCAGTACTGTGAAAGTAAATTAATAACAGGTAAGTCGCAATTTCAAAAAAATATGCACATCGAGAGCTTCACCAGGATGAAGCAATAGAATTTAGAAATGATCGGTATGACAAAAACCCTATATAAGGGCGACATTGTATTACATATTTAAGAAAGAGAACTTCGTGAGGACGGATTATTAGAATTTCAAAAATATCAATGATTTGGCTATGGTCCTCTGGAAGGGATATATTCCTGAAATAAGAACGTCAAGAACATCATGAGGATGAAGCATAAGAATTTTAAGATCTCATGTAGGCGATATTCCAAATATTTGCATATCGTGAACTTCATAAGAACGAAGGATTAGAATTGCAAAATAATCAACGAGCTGGCAATGACCCTCTGTAAGTGTAATATCCCTGAACTTGAGAATGTCGACTCGACATTTTCGAGTACTTCATGAGTAACCATGTTCATAAATTATCATCGTATATTATTCACATATTGAGAACATCAAGAGGACAAAGTATTCAAATTACAAAATTATCAACGAGGTGGCATCGATCCGCTATTACTGGTCTAAAGTTCAATTCAGGCATGTCCAACACAACAGGGCACTGCGCACTGTATTTGGACACCGCCACACAGTGGTCCAAAAGTGTACAAAGACGGGCAAACGTCATTATCTCGTGAATCTTGCATTTTTGACTAGTGTTGTCTTTGGGAAAGTTTCTGGATATTAAACGTCTTTTCTTTTGACATTGACAGATCAACGATTAATTCCCAATCAAACATTAATTTTGACGTAGGACTACGTCTGTGATTTCTATATGGGGGTACACTTTGTGAAAACCAAAAATGGAACATGCAACAAAATTATGAAAGATTTGGAACGTTAATTACTCAGCTGCCCCTGGAGCAATTTCAATAATTTTACCACCGATGGATCAGAAATATTTATATACATCTGTTGAATTCAAGATTTTACCATTTATGCTATGATAATTAAAATTATCACCGATTGCCTGCGAATCCCGATTTTTCTAACACAGATTTCAAAGTTGAATTCAATCCGGTCTCCCCAAACGGTGTTTATTCAATCACCGCGTGGTGAGTGGTGTTGTTCTCCAGCACACAACGAAAGGCTCCCCGCAAGCAGCTAGCTATCAAGGCTGGCCTCAACCGCTGATCGGATTCATTTCCAATCACCGCTTGTGGTGGTGTCCGGTTGTCGGCATCATCATCAGCAGCAGCAGCAGTGCTATTGACACGTGGCGTTGAACATTGTTCTCCAGTACACAACGAAAGACTGCCTGCAAGCAGCGAGCTGCAGCCCACATGAGCATCCAAAGAAGGAGGAAAAAACCGCACCGCTATTGATCGGAATCAGTAGCGCTTCGTGAGTCGCTGTGGGCCATCTATGTCAAGCGCGTCATACTATAAAGCAGGTAGATAGTTCCGTTAGAGTAAGGCAGTATGAAAATTGAATAGAAGTTGAAATTGACGAAGGGCTATTAATGCGACAGTACAAAGTCAAACGCACACTCTTTGCCTAGCCCGCTCATTAATGTCTGCGGCTATGGAATAGCCAAAGGCCCTTCGCTCATTTTCAACTTCTATTCAATTTTCATATTGCCGTACTCTAACGGAACTATCTACCTACTCTCTTCTAATGACCATTCTCTAGCTAATCAATTATCACACTAAAGCTTCATGTTAGATAGCATTTCCAACCAACTCTGAAACTTTTTCATGCCAAACACTGTCAAATGCTTTTCCTGTGTCTAAAAACTAAAAGATTGTGTTTTTTTTAGGGAAAATAATGGAGCACACAAAGGATGTCAGTCGCCGCTATGCATGGGGTGGCAATACTGGCAATCATGGAAACAAATACGAAGAAGATTTAGCATTTGCGCTGTTTGAACGAGCATCTTTGCAGAAATCTGAATTCATACTGGCCTCAGAAATGAAGGACGCTGGAAAATTCGATGATGTGGTCATAATTTTCGAAAAACGGAAGGAAGTGTGGTTTTTCCAAGCCAAACACAAAGACAGCTCAGATGGTACAAACAAAATATCGTTCGACAATTTGTTTCCGAAGACGTGTAAGGAAAATTATGATTTTGCTATTATCAAGTACATGCAGTCGTATTTAGACGTTATTCAAAAAGATGAGTTCAAGGAGTTGAATATGCGATTTTTTATCTTAACCAATAAATCATTAGACGATAGTAATAGTCAGCTTAAAGAGTTGGTGGACATCGAGGACTGTGAACAAGGTGAAGTGAATCCAATAATGAAGTTTGCTGAATCGAACGATTGCTACAAAAGATTCAGACCAAAAAAGGATAAAATTGAAGATTTACTAAAGTTGATGAACACCGAACTAATTGCCATTAGGGATGCGATCATTGAACTCTTCAAAAGCGGAAAAGTTTCGGAAATACTAATCGGCTACAAAACACCGTTGCAGAAGATCCTAGAAGTTTCAGATAAAAATCTAAAGCTCTCCAAGGACGGTGGTCTCACCCATGAATGGTTGCACAATGAGCTACTAAAGGATATTAAAGGTAAATTAATAGCAGAAAATCCAACGATTAAAAATTTTATGAATGGTAAATCTAGGAACACTCAACTACCAACGTATTTAAATGAAGATAGCGTGAGCAAGTTCTTTCAGCATCTAACTTTCTGTGTTAACCAACCCAGTGATCTTATAAAAACCATCGAGAATGATCTTCGCTCATGGATGAGAGATTGGATTCCACCGGACGATCTTGGAAAAACACAATTAGCACTGCCTTTCTTTAAATTTAATAAATGTTTTAAAAATTGGATCAATTCTAATAGTTACAAGGATACAAAAAATAATAAGCCAGAAAAGAGTTACTTATCTTATAAAGAGGGACGCTCTTGTGTCGAAGAAATAACGGAAGAACTGAGTCGTAATTTTTCACAACGTAAATATATTGGAAGCTCGTACATAGAAAGAAAATTAATTGACGACAATCTTATTGTTAGCGACCATGATTTCATCAAACGATTAATAGACGACCCAGCAGAAAACAAATTTTCTCTCCTGATTGGAGAGCCTGGTATGGGAAAAACAACTATCCTCCAACACATTGCCTTCGAAGTTCAAAAGAAATCCAATATTGATGTGTTCTTGATATATTTGAATAACTTGAAGGAAGAGCTCAAATTAGGCTGTGAAAACTTAGAAGCGGTTTTCAAAATTCTGCAATCGACTCTTTCAGAAACAAGCCGGAAAATATTGAAAAAAAATCTAGAAAGCAACGCAAATCGAACCATAATCCTGTTTGATGGGTTCGATGAGATCACTTTTCATAACGAAGCAATCGCCGTATTTAGGCAATTATTGTCAAAGGAGAATATTCGAGTGATTGTTAGTGGTAGATATCATGTCAAAGATATTCTTGAAAAAGAATTTGAAGCAAGGGCAATCAGATTGATTCCATTTAAAAAAAGATAAACAAATTATGGTTTTGAAAAATTCATGGAAAGCTTCCGATGATTCAAGGGAATTTAAAATTTATTCAACTCAATTGCTCGAAAAATTCTACTCGGACATAAAAAGCTATCAATCTGAATTCTTTGGTATTCCACTTTTAATTCGATTGTTGGCGGAAGTATATTCTGATGATTTCCAACAATATTTAAAAACTGTTCTGGATAAACGTGCACCAGATATTTTCCCGAAAGAAAAATTTAATGTTGTCACATTGTTTAAAAAGTTTGTAGAATTTTCGTTTCAAATCAAATGGAAGAAAAAAAGAGACCAAGATGCTTACCGAAATATCGACATGTCAAGTGATGACGAAGAGTGCCGTCAGTTGAAATACTTTACTATTGAGCATCAAATAGCTGCTTAGCAAGTCAAACAGGGAAACGAGCACTCTCCTCTATTTAATATTTCCGAAGGAGAGCTTAGATTCGTACACCGATCCTATGCCGAATTTTTCGTTGCAACGTATATATATGGTCATATCCAAAAATGCAAAGCAATTTTGTACGAAACACTTCATAATAATGAAACAGTTCGAAGATTTTTCTTTATGCTAACTGAAGAACAGTTTTCAGAACAATCAGAGCAAATGATTGCTCTGAGCAATATTTGTAAAGAAAAACCTGAGGTTGCATTCTGGGCATGTGAAGCAAATTTTGTAAAAGTAGTAAAGGAGCTACTACAAAAGAATGATTACAAAACTAAAACACACGAAAAAAATGGACCGTTATTGCACTGGTTATTGCACACCGCGACGCGTGCTGGTCATTATGAGATCGTTTTATTTCTACTTGATTATGGCATAGATGACCCCAATACAAGTCCGATGCACATGGCTAGTGCCATGGGGCATCTAGAAATTTGTAAACTTCTCCTCGATCGATCTGCCAACGTGGATCTTCAGGATGAAGATAATAGAACACCTCTCCACTATGCAAGTGAATTGGGGCATCTAGACATGGTTGAACTTCTCTTCGATCGATCTGCCAAGGTGGATCATCTGGATACAAATAATAAAACAGCTCTCCACTATTCACATGTGTAGGTGCAGGTGAAAATGGGCATCTAGAAATGGTTAAACTTTATCAGAATGACGAATAAAGAACACCTCTCAACTGTGAAAGTGGCTATTGGTCACCACAATATATTCATGATTTTTATGAACTGCATTGGAGCATGGTAAATAACGATGGTATTGAACGGGAGCATTTAGAAATAGCAAAACTTCTCCCCAATCAACTTCCAAAATAGATGCATAAGATTCATCCGGATCGAGACCCCTTCACTACGCAGCTCAAGACAACGCCAATAATCTCTTGAGTATAAAAATCCGTATAAAATTCGCATAAAACCGTGAAAAGTTTTTCTGTTCGCACGAATTTAAAATTCAATTTCATGGTGATTCGATAAAGAAGTTCAAAAATGGCTGTATTGTAAGGGCAAGTGGTATATCGAGTTACACCATAGAGGTAACTATAAGACCAGAAGGTCCCGAAGAAACGAGCTCAACTTTATGGCTCAGCTTTGGTCCCAAGCTAATCGATTCACCCCTCGAAACATAGGAAAATCCACGAGCCCCTCATTTTATCTGTCAAACATTCATAGCGAATCAAAACAAACATTGCGTAGTACTAGAATTTCGCTTAGAATGGGGTACGTTAATCGTTTGCTTGGGACCAATAGGCTAGTCAAGTAGTGAGCCAATTTAAAATCGTTAGTTTCGTATTGATTGTTGGTTATACCGTGTATTTCGCTTCGAATCGGAATTTAACGGAATTTTTGTTTTCATGTTTCGTTTCGTTTAAATCAGAAAATTTCTAGTTAATAAATTTCCATGTTATAGGAATTTCGTTTGAATACAGTGAAATAAAAGAAAAACAAATTTATCAAACTCATATTTCACCTTTTAAAAATAACCAACGAACAAACAACACTAGTCACGAACCTATCCAAGAAAAACGACCTTTAGAGGTCTTCAGGGTCTGATTAGACTACCACATGAGTAGGATCCACACGTACTCTCAGCCCGTCAACGAGAAGCATTCGCGAGGTATCTTGAAAGCTCTAATCAATACCCACATTCAGCTCAGCTCGCCAACGAGAAGAATACGCAAGGTATCAATGAAGATCTCCCTCCAGTGTCTCGGTAGACGAGTTTTGGAGCAGACAGAAGCCACTCCCAACCAGCCAACAAGAAGCATGCCTTTCAAAAAGTGAAATCCATTCACTACCCTTGCTCTGTTATAATTGGAATAACTTCACATCGAAATATCCAATTTGAAACTAATCCAATATTTTCATTGAACTAAAATTTAAACTGTATACAAAAGCTGCCGCCAGGCAGGCAAATTCTAAAGTACTTTGCTATATATACGGATGAAGAGGAAAATGGTGGGGTTGTGGAATGAACGAAATTACATTTTTCCGCTCTCATACGCTCTCAACATCACGCGTGATATTGGAACAAAATATCATGCTTGATAATGATTTTACAAGCTCCTTCACAACGTGCAAAAAATCAAGCTGAAAGTTGACTCGAAACTAAAATGATGCCGTTGCACATCGTTTTCTTAGAAAGAGAAAGTATAGTTTGCTATCTCTTTTCACTCTTCACCGACGTTATGGAAGCTTCGGTTGCGTTCGGGTGTAAAGCAATAATCATGAAACTCGATCTCTCCACAGATTTGCAGCTGGTGAGTTTTGTTAGCTTCACGGCGAATGAGAACGACCCACATTTGAGTTTAGTTCACTCATTATCGCCAAAAGTGCAGGAACTCAGCGATGAGTAAATTTGTCTCATGGTTTCCTGTGGAAAACCTAAAAAATCTGTCGGAAAATGAGGAAATTGACGAAACTTTCATTCAGTCTCGAAGTAGTACCAATAGACTGAGTGAATCCAATCTTTACTTTTCTCAAATTCGGGAATTTTTCCCACAAAAATCCTGGAAAAACCTGGGAAAACATGAGACAAATTTTACTCATCGCTGAGTACCTGCCCTTTTGGCGATTATGAGTTGACTAAACTCAAATTTGGGTCGTTTTCATTCGCCGTGTTGATATTCCGAGCGTGCAAAATCAACTGCAGATGTTTGCTTGTCGATTTTGTTCAAGCGTAATCTTGGGCATTGGTGATTTTTTTTTCATTTTCTCAACACTGGCTCCGTGCATCACTAGCACCTTGAGGTTTTGCAATACCTCTGGAATTCATGCTATCGCCACTCACCCATATTGTTCAAAGCGTTATTTATGTGACCCGGTGATGATTCATCAGATAAAACTATGTAATACCCACGTACAAAATTTGGACACGAGCGCTTCGTTCATTTCACCGATAAATCTAAAGTTTTAAACCTAGATTAAAATATCATTCATCATAACAAACAGTTCCGGGCCGAATAGTAAAAGAGAATAACGATTTTGCGCCACCTAAAATCACGTCCGATTGAGCCCAAATATCGCACAGGGTCTTTTTTTTCGAGGCAATAAACATTTCCCCTACACATTCATTGGCACCCTAATCCGACAATTGAAGAGAGACCAGAGTATTGGCACCCTAATGAAGATATACATTTTTACGCCCATGTAGTCATTAGGGCGAATTATGAAACGTGAAAGATTGAAATTAGTTTTTCTTGGAAATGTAACTTTGTGATTTTTTCAGGACCTTGATCTGAGAAAGGATATTGAATTTTAAAATTTTTAAATGTTTCGCAATTTGTCAAAAATATCAAAATTCTAATCTGTTTTTAGATCTCACTCTAATAAATATAAATTAGGATTCTAAACTAAATTCTGATTTCACGATCACAGGCTAGGATATTTTCCTAAATTTGAGTACTCAGAAAAATTTTATGATCAAGAGCGTAGACAATATTTGAAGAACTGGGACTAGGAAAATGCGAGACAAAATACAAACGACACCTAAAGAATGCACATCTTGCACTTAAAATGTCCAAAAAACCTTGGTCAGGAGTAATTAGATTTGAAAATGAGCAATAGACAAGTGGAAAGTAGTAATAGAAAATATATGTTTCACTGGCAAAA